TATGAGGCATGTAGTTCATGACAAATCATAAATTTATTATTTCTAATGGCCTTTTACATCCTGTCCTCAGAATTGGTATGAATCTCCAATGGCAGCGCTCAGCATTCTAGAGGGAAAGAAGGCCCTCACCTTGGAAGGCATAAGTTCTGCTATGCATCAAATTGCAACTGGCCTTCAAGCCTTTGCTCCAGTACTGGGTATAGACTTGGAACAATTCCGGGATATGCCAAGTCCTGATGAGGAAGAGCTTCTTGCTTCAGAAAGTGAAGAAGAGGAAAGTGACCAAGAGGCGGAAGAGGATTTGGAAGTTGACAAGCATGTAGTTTTACATTCCGTAAAAGATGTTTCACTAGCTTGTGATTTTCACGTTAATGTTGAATCTCCAGCAAATGGAGTGTACTGCTGGTGGTTTCCTGAAGAAATCAGTCAAGGTTGCTACAATGGGAGAAATGGAAGTAGTGCATGTAGTGTCATATCATTAATTATTGGCTATGTCATGAGTAAAGGAAATGTACCACTTCCACCTTGTAGTCTACAACAACCTTTACCAGATTTATTAGTTAAAGCCATATGTGGATCCATACAACTCGGAAATCATCTTTATGATGTCTGTAGAGAAAGTTTACCAGCAAGATATCTTTCAATTGAGGAAGCTGCTTCAGTATTACGACCGTGTCTTCAGATTTCTGCTGATGATCCACTGCCTATTCGTTTAACAGATGAGCATGAATTGTCAACATTGTGTGGACAGTTGGCACAGTCAGGAGAAAACAACACTGCAAGCATCATCATCAATGAAAGAACCTCCACATTTCATTTATCTCAATGTTACATTGTATATATAGACACTCACAAACATAGTTCCAGAGGAGTGTTAGTCATGGCAGCCCATCTTGATGCTCTAAAGGACTTCTGCACACAAATATGGAAAAATGAAAAACATTGTGAAACGACCTTTGGAAACTTGGTGTTTGTGAAATTCCATTGAAGTCCATCACCTTCAATTAATTTTGTTCTTCCGGTAGCACTGGAGCACCTGTAGATTATGTATGGCAATAAAATCAGTGAACAGAAGCTAAATCACATACCAAAATGCAAAAAAAACCTACTTAAAAAGCAATTCAAACTCAAAACAATGGATTAGATGCTAAGCAAGAGATAGATAGCCAACAATTCCACAATCCTTAATGGTTACTAAGTACTAGTAAACTTAGGGCTGGTTCGATTCCAGCAAAGGATTATTATTTGTTGGATACAACTATCTTTTGCAAGATGTTTACGATTTCACTCAAAATTATACATAGATTCTACAAATGTACAATGATAATATGTAAATATGAGAGTACAAGTGTAATCCATTTATTAAAAAATCTATAGGTTATTAGCATAAACTGGACTACATTACAGCTCCTATTGCAATAACACAACTACAGTACGAACCATTAAAAATGATATCATTTAAACAATAAACAATTTCATTTCATTTAATTTCAAATTAAATGAGGGGAACACGGGGAAAAATAGGAAAAATACAAATACCGGTATGTCTTTATTCTTAATTCCAAATACACTTTGTTGAAAACAGCACAAAGCTTTACTAAGGATATATGGCTTATGGAAAATCCTCCCCAGCTATACACAACAAAGAGAGTATTGAAGGGGGGTCTAATCCCATTTCCAAGTCTTTTTTTCTTCAAAATCCYATTTCCAGTCTTCAAAATCCCATTCCCAATCTATGTTTATTTTAAAGATCCCATTTTTCACATTTTCACACCATTTTCACAGCTCTAAATCAGGCCAATGCCATTCCCATTTTACCCCTTCAGGACCCTCAACAAAGGACACAGAAACACTGGCATATAGGAACACATAACACTTTAGGCACTTTTAATTGTGACGTGCATAAATATCTTATAGGAAAGCTCACCGGCAATACATTGAGTGACATAGAACACCCTTATTTTGAGAATGGAACATCATAGACACACCTTTTCGTCAATGAACAGAAAATCCTCC